CCTCCTCCTCCTCCTCCTCCTCCTCCTCCTCCTCCTCCGCCAGGCCTTCGCAATAAGGGGCACTTTGGCCAGTGACCCGGCGAAACCCTCCCCGACGTGGGCCACGCTGCAATGCCAGAAGGAGGCCCTACAGCGGCAACCTGCGGCAAATTTCAGGAGTACCCGCTGGTGAGCACCCGCCACGGTGCCGCACCGCTGATAGAGGCCTCCTTGATGGGGTCCGAGTAGATGGGGTCGGAGGATCACGCCGCATTCGGCGATGCATCAGCGATGCATCCGGCGATGTATCGGCGACGCATCGGCGATGCACTGGCGACGCATCGGCGACGTCGGCGTGGAGAGAAGTGAGGCCCGCATCGCCGATGCATCGGCGATGCGGCGCGATCCTCCGACCCCATCTACTCCGACCCCATCCGGGAGGCCTGGAGGCCGAAAGGGGGGCGGGAGGGCCATCAACTCCGACCCCATCCGGGAGGCCTGGAGCTGAAAGGGGGGCGGGAGGGCCAGCTGCTCCGACCCCCTCCGGGAGGCCCGGAGGCTGAAAGGGAGGGGGGAGGGAAGGGGCCATCTGCTCCGACCCCATCCGGGAGGCCCGGATGCGATGCGATGCGACCACCGTTGCGGACAGCGTCCGGGCCTAGAGCAGACCAGGTGGGTGAGGCCATGGCCTCTAGGATCTGAGGTGTCTGGAGTCATGCAAATGCGAGACAGAGGCTGGAAGGGAGGGGGAGGGGGGGCGGGGCTCGGCGCCAGGGCGCCAGGCGGCGACCCGCGGCCGAGCCGTCTGGCTCGGTGCCGCTCGCGCGGGCGAATTCGGGCGCGCCGCGGCGGCGCGCGCGGGCGCCCTCCCCGCCGCGGGCGGCGGCGCGAGGAGGCCCTGCCTGCGACGCTCCCCGACCGCGGAGTGCCTGCCCCCCGACCGCCTCCCGCTGCTGCCCTCGGGTCGGGCATGTCCCCCTACAGGGGGGGATGCTGGGCGAAAAATCAAAAACGTACAAAAATACTCCAAAGATGCTCAGGAACGGTCAAAAAAAAGGTCCCCAGGCTATTCTTTTTGACTATCTCCCCGGGCTCCTCTTGTGCCCGCCTTCTCCAGGCCCTCCTTCTCCCCCCCGCTCTCCCTCTACGAGGCGGGGATTTATCCATATCCACCGCCTGGGAACCGACGCCCTGGTGCCCCAGCGGGCGGTGGATATGGATATATTCGGCCCCCGGGGGCCCGAATATGTCCATATCCACCGCCTGCCGAGGCTCCGAAAACTGACCCTCCAGGCGGTGGATATGGATAGATTCCCGCCTCGGACTCTCTCTCTCTCTCTCTCGCAACTGCTGCTCAGCGATCCCGAATCTGAGAGGGGGGGGAGAAAGGCACCCGGCCAACCCAAACGCGCGACACATGGGGGCCCATCCGCACGGGAAAAACTGCTGGGGCGCGCCGGAGAACCCAGGGAGTCAGGTCTCCGCGGGCACAAGAAAATCCGCCGACCTTGTCAGCGTGTGGCAAAGGATTTTTCGGTTGCCGCCGTCGTCGTCGTCGTCGTCGTCGTCGTCGTCGTCGTCGTCGTCGTCGTCGTCGTCGTCGTCGTCGTCGTCGTCACTGCTGCCCCCTGTCTATGTCTGGGGGCCCTCCTGTTCAAACGCTCCGTCGAAGAAAAATCGAACAACGTCGCAACCGAATCGACAGGAAGCCCCTTCCCGTGGATCCCTTCCCCGCTGGGGGTGGGGGTCCGGGGGGGGGTCCCTGGTTGGGTAGGGGAGAGGGTCCCGGGGATTGTGACGCCCCTCCCGTGGGGGAGCAACGCTCCCTGGCAAAAGCTTGCCTCTTCGAGTCCTTGCCTCCCAGACGCCTGTGGCTCCCACTGCAGGGCCGGCGGCTCCGGCCGCGAGGCCTCCACAAGAGATCCCTGGCAAAGGGCTCGAGCACGGGGATCACCCCCGTCTCGGCAGAGGCATGAGGAAGAGGAGTGAACGCTCAGCTCTCAGGAGCGAGGACGATTAGCAGCCTGGAACATATCCCTATCTCTATGCTGGGCACCTCCTCATGACGACGCCAATCTTAGGGATTCCCTTAT